ACCTCCCGAGATCTTCTGGTCGATTGCAAATACTAGTTGGGTTGGCCAACCGCCTCTCATGTTACGGCCATTTCTATCATGGAGAAAAATATGTTCGAGTTGACCTGAGACATTTCCCAGTGGTTGTAAGGCACTGTCTCTCCGCTATGAATGTGGTTACGTTATGGTCTTATAGCTCCTGCATACAGGACGCGGTAATGCTTGCCGTGCGGCGGAAGTTTGCGCAATAGCCAATCAATATGCTACTTTGCGTAATAACCTTCTAGCTTTTAGAGAAAAACAACATATTGATTGGCTGTCGCGCGGACTTTCGTCGCGCGGCAAGCATTACCGCGTCCTGTGTACAGGAGTCATTACAGCACATTGAATAATTTCTAGTTTGGAATAGCGTCAGAGACCGAGTGGAGTTTCGGTACTCTGAATTTGTCTTATTTGATTTGAGACACGCGCGTGTACAACGCATGAACTGCGATTGTCGTCGAGCCACAATGCCATATGAGGCGCCCGTGATAGATACCTCTGCTCTGTTGTGATGAACTTCTCCCTTCCAAGTGAGGTCAGAGTTACCACCCTCCTTCACGAATACCCTGTCTGTGTATCTCTCTTCTGGGTGCCAGTGATTCTCTCAATCTGCGTTCTTTGCTGCTCACGAGAACCGTTCTAGAGCGCGAAATCACGCACGAAAAAACACCAAGGAAAAATACTGACCCCTTCGTTGGGACAAGACAAAGGAAACATTGGTGCGAGCAGTCGCAATAGACTATCTACAATAACGGGCTTACCTCAAGTTATGACGACGACGACGACGACGACGACGACGACGACGACGACGACGACGACGACGACGACAACGACGACGACAACAACGAGAACGATGACGACGACGTCTTTTTTTATCGATAGCGTAATCCGCGTTACGTTATATCTCACGCGCTCGAAGGTTGGTCTTCATCGAGTTAACTTTATAATTACGTTTTTCAGTAGAATCTTCTCCATCAACTACTCAAAGTTCTAGGCGAGCGAATTATTTCGCCCAGTTTTTGGACGGTGGAGCGCTAAGAGCGCAATGCACTTTTACCTGATCTTCAGCTTTTTTTATACTCGTGTACGTTATTTTCCAACAACATTACTTTTCGGTAACGAGTAGAGGTGCGAATCCACCACTACCCTTGCTGCCGATGGAGATTACAAACACCCACGTATCGCCGTTCGATTTCGATCAACTGAATGCGCGCGTGTTATCATTCGTTGAACGATCGAGTCGTTTGAATTTTTAACGAGTCGCAAAAAATTCTCCCTTTTTCTCTCTATCGACGGAGCGCGAGACATCAGTGAAGAGAAAAATATAGACACTATCGCTGGCGAATAATTTCACGCAATTATATTGTCGCATCATCAAAGAGCGGCGGTGTTATGGTGCTGAATAAGTTAGTTTGTAGTCAGATAGGTCGAGAAACGGTTCGCCGAATCATCGTTCACTGGAGTCGACTGCGGTCGTGAAGCCTTGGTAGATAGAGAAGAAAAGATGACGATTATAACGATAATGCTTATTCGACCAAGACGAGGACTGTTTCCGACCGAGTGTCATATATGCCTAGTTTACATCGAACGACTGAAACTAAATAATAACTTTCTATTAAATAATCTCAATGTCGACAATGTATGTATTATATAACGGTCTATTATAGTATAATACTCATCAAGAAGATGTATCGACTGAAAACATTGTCGTTGACATGTGTTGTAATATTAAAATTATTTGATAGAAAGTTACTATTTTCTATACAATGTTCAAAATACATCTCAGAGACATCTTAGAAATATGTGATATCACACATCTTTAGAACGTTTCTAGTCTGTATTTTCGGCATTTTTGCTGTATAAGTTAATATCAAATGTTCGATGTAAACGAGACAATAAAGCGCTCAGCTGGACCGCAACCCAGCCAATTGATCCGCGAAGTGTCCTTTCTCGCAAAGAACACGTATTCTCAATTTTTTTCCTCTTTTTTTTCGCTCGAGGCGTACCCAATTGCCTTAAGTAGTGACTTTTGAACGATTCACTGCCACACACGCGCGCATTGCGTCGCGTCGCGTCAGTGAACGCATTTTATAGCATGTTCGACTGGCTTTGGGTTAACCCACTCTGGGTTATTCAACCTACGTTCATTGGTCGAACAAGTACTTATAAGTTTTATGATTGGCTAGTAGAAACCAATGACGTCATTAATCGCTCTCGGAGCGATTAACCCAGGGTCAGTCGAACACGCTATTAGTTTAGGAGGTACAGCGAAAGTTCTCGAGACCCTCCCGCGTCTCTCTCCACCGTAATCCGCAGGGGGCGACATTTTACGTCGTCAAAAGCGAAGTTTCGAGTCTGCGGTGGACGCGCGGAGTCACACTCGTGCATTTCCCTAAGGTATATAGATAGATAAGTGAGACCCCGTCTCTCCACCCTTCTCTTTCTTCCTCCCTCTTTTCCCCTTTTTCTCTCTCATATTTCCTCTCTCGAAATTACTGCGTAGATTTTAATAATTTATTCTAGCTAGAACGTTGTAATTTATATATAAAACAATATAATATACATATGTATGTCGCGCACGATTTAACTCATATTAGCGTGAACACGCGTTTAACGGATAGTCCGATATCTCGAGTTTAGAGCGCGGGCAAGAGAGTGAGGAGAGATGAGAGGGATGCCCTTCTCATGAAGGTTCGGCAGGATTTAGCTGGCACGGGGCTTGCCACGGCGACCGATTAGTTTCGTAATTTTTTCTCGATTATCGTAAAACATTACAGCGTCTCTAACTAACCGTGCACATAAACTACGTAGCCAATGTGCACGAATTGTCTCAGTGAGTAAAAAAGTAATGTCCATGATTCTTGACGTTAGTTAGACAAAGACAGATAATCAATACTATCTGTTCTTGTCTCACTACAGGCGATAAACAATCGCAGCGGTAGACACAGAGGCGAGTTAGCGGCGATCTTATCGTTAAAGAAACATCTCGCTCAGCCATTGACGCATTGCGTTACTCGTAATTCCAGAAGAATTTTCAGGTTCACGTTTTCTGGCCACTGTAACTATAACAATATTTTGCATGGGAACACTGAGTTGGATAAAAGAGAAGGAAATAATTTTAATTTGAGCATTATATGTGTGCAGGCTCTTACACGCCGCTAACATTTATTGTTTATTTCTCGGCAACTACAAAACATATTAATGTCATTCAAAAAGCATTGACTTTTCAATAGTTTATTCTATTGGCATTAGTGTTTTATAATAGTACAAATAATACCACCGCTTTAGGTCAAGCGTAGGAGCGCGAGTACGTCTCGACATCGCGGGCAGGCTCTTACATACCGCTAGCATTTATTGTTTATTTCTCAGCAACTACAAAAAAGATATCGATGCGACTCAAAAAGCTAACTAAGTCGAATTTTTCTAACAACAGGCATTTATTGCGTTGTAAGATTGTTTGATACAACTCGTTGCACATATAAATAGGTGTCGCCGCTGACAACTACCACGTACAGACCAGTTCGAAGAGGTGGAGGATAATACGCGCGAGATTAAGTAAAATCAATCGATAGGTGTGACAGAGTCGTCGATCGACATTAAATACGAGGCGGCTTTGGCTAACTTCTATGTTAGGGGGGACTATTATTTTCGAGTACATGTTCCTTTCAATACGACGAAACGTCACTCACCGGTGGGTGCACGACACGCCGCGCAGTTTTCGATCAAACGACGAAGTTGTTGGGTTTCCAGTTTCTGCAAAAGACGATGAGTTGCAAATTACTTTTCGAGTCGCGCGCGCGCACTTTCTTCGTGAGACATTTTGCGATAGGAGTGTCACAACTGCGATCTCTTACGTCCAAAAAAAGAATGAAAAACTTTCGTTTTGCAATCGGGACAAATATTTACGTTTACGTTCGTCATACTTATCGCGCTCTACTTTTGAAGCGAATTCTCAAATCGATTTATTGTACATTCATCGTTTGATTAACTCAAATGTTTAACGCACAGGAATGCAACGATATAGTCGCTTCGCGCATACTTACGTTTTGCTCCAATTCCTTCTACATCTTCTTAGTGGCGTCGATTAATTCGTTTAGGGCCTTCACGATGTTAGTGTCGATCAAACAAACTGAAAAATACCGAGCGTGAAAACGTGTTGAACAAAACCTAATTAATCGACTCGATTAATCATATTCCACCCACTTTTCTCATCTAGACTTTGAATTCCAATGTCGCCTCTTCTAGGTAACCTTGGCTTGTGTCCAGATCGGTCACCGTCAGGTTCAGATCCATTCTGATCGTACGGTTCTATGGCTGTATTTTTGTCGAACGAACTCCATTCACTGGGTCGATGTTAAGTCCTCGTTCACTTGAAGAATCGCGTCCTTTGTCAGCACGCAAACCCGGCTCGTAGAGTCGTTTGGATTCCGTGGATCCTTTCGATTCAGGTCGCCCAGACTTGACAAGATCGTGATATCCATCGTCTGTGTCCGTCGTTGATTCCGTCTCGTCCAGTTCGTCGGACTTCAAGTTGAACACGTAATTGGACGGGTTCCTGTCAGGTCGCTTGTAGTCGCGGTCAGGACGATGCGAGTTGGAATAACTGGCAT